GCCTGAGCCAGGACCTGGCACTCGGGACACATTTGCAGCAAGACCCTTGCCTCCCGGGAGCCCGTCTCTGCAAGCTGCCAGCCCCCTGGGCGAGTAGGGCTCAGAGAGGTCAAAAAGTAGGAAGGACCATATAAATCTATCCTGCTGTTTGTATGATTAGAACAATGACATGTTCAAGGTAGACATTTTGGAGGAATTAGAGAAAGTATATAAAACAGAGCCCTGTGGGCTTAGTGGTTAAAGCACCCGACTGCTAACCAGGAGGTCCACGGTTCAAAGCCACCAGCTGCCCCAGGGAGGAACGATGAGGCAGTCTGCCTCTGTGAAGATTCCCCGGTTGGAAACTTTGTGGGGGCAGTTTTCCTCTGTTCCAAGGGGTCCTTGAGTCAGAATCAACTTGACAGCAGAGGGCTCGATATGAAGAGTTCAGATCACCCCCAACTCCACTCCGCCACTGGCCTTTAGTGGATCTCTCTGGGCTGTAGAATTGGTCTTCCCCTGGTGCCTCTTTGTAGGTAGGTATTTTCCGGTCAAGGGCTCCATGCATGTCCGTGATGGATCGTCATTTGAACTTGCAGGTGGTCTCTGGTTCTTTGCACTCCCACTCATGTTGCAGTGCAGGCGTGTGAATGGCTGGGAGGAGTGTAGTAGTCGAGGGAGAGCAGGGGCCGGCCCAGCAGGTCCACTGAGGTGATTGAACGCTTGAGGCTTCGGTTGCCCTCCCAGGGTCTAGTGCAGGACTAGCCAATCAGCAGACACATCTGCCAGCCAGAAATTTCTAGTGGCTTCAGACACCACCTCGAGGTGGCACAAACCTGTAACAACCCTGCAAGACGGGTACGACTGCCCCGCCACTTGCTCGCACACTGCCATCAAATGGATTCTGCCTCCTATGGGCCTGGGAGAACGGGGTAGGACAAGTCCCTGTGGGGTGTGGAGACTGTAAGTCTTCACAGGAGCAGACAGCCTCCTCTGTCCAGTGGAGTGGCTGGTAGGTTTGAACTGCCAACCTCGTGGTTAGCACCCTGAGGAACAGTCCACTGTGCCACCAGAGTACCTTCCACTGCCCCATGGGGTTTCTTGTTCCTTCCGACTCCTGGCGATGTTTGCTTGTGTCTTATCGGCCACATGAAGTAACTAGACTGTATGGCCCTCATGCCTCATAGGGGATCCAGGAGCGGCAGGCTGCTGGGCAGCAGAGGGTCAGGCCTTTCTCCCACCGTGCACCTGTTCAGCAGCCAGGAGGGCTCCCTCGTGGCCAGAGACAAAGCTCCCTGCCATGGAGTCGCGCTGACTCATAGCAA